CCCCAAAACCCCAAAACCCCAAAACCCCAAAACCCCATAAATAAATGTTAAAGAAATTAAAAAGTGTTGATTTATTTGGATGAGTAGAAATTAAAAAGGATGAGAATAATATATTTGAATTAATTCTCATAAAATGAGAGAACTTTACTTTGTAAAACTATACTTATCAATTCTACTTTTTACCATAACTTCCTCCCTTATTAAAGCTTAACCTGTCTCAGTAAACAACACATTTTCAACAGATACTTGCTTTAGATGCTTAGTAAAAAACGAATTCATAATTTAACAAAAGTTAGATTTAACGTTAGTGCCTTATACATACTTTTCATACTGTGTTTATGAAAACAAAGAGAGTTGCTGTTTAATGGCTGCAGATGGCTTTTCCTTATAGCCTGATAATTTAATCTGCTAATTTGGTAGATGCAGCAATAATAATTAGAAATTAGATATGAAAAAGTTGCAAAGTTAGTATATATTTTGTCAATCAGACATATAACCCGATGAGTTCTGTGGACCTTAGAAACTCAAATTATCTAACTACTCCAAGCCATCGCCAGCTATGTAATTATACTACGATCCGAACAATGTTAGGCCAAACAGTACTAATGAGACCAATAATGATACAAACAATAATAATTAAACAAATGGAACAACAAATAATTAAAATGGAACAAATTCTACAAATGGCACTAACAATAATAATACTACTAATAATACTTAAAATAATAATATCACTGAAAATTCCACAAGTACCAATACCACAATAAATAATGACACAGCTTAAAGCAATTAAACTTAAAATAATTAAAGTAATTCTACCTCTGATAATAACAATGATACCTCACACAATGACAGCAATCAAACTCAAACAAATAATACCAATTAGACTAATATTTAGAGCAATTAAACTACCAATACTTCAGATTCTAAACCTGATAACTCTACAAATGAAAACTAAAATTAAACAGATAATGATAATCCTGTACAAATACAATAAAATGAAACTCAGAACAATTAGTCATAAGAACAATCCTAAATAAATTAAAAAAGGATATTATAGCAATTAATAAAATAAGCAAATTTACCAAAGTAAAATATTAACTCAAATAATGAATAAATAACTGAAAGCAATTAAAGAAACTTGAAATTTATGGATGACATCAGAATCTGTATCTACGATTTAGAAATCGATGATAATCTGTTTTAATAATATGACAAACAATAAGATGGGGTTAAATTGGAAATAGTTTAAAATAACATTAACAATCTGATATTTATGTTAGATTACGATTAAAACAGATCCACAAAGCTAACTGATCAAAATTTAATATCTAGGATAGAATAAAACGAGACAATGAAGATTCTAAGCATTTTTGATGACTCAAAGTATGTAACACTATACATTGAGTATATGATAGAAGATTAAGACTACATTATAATTGATAAAAATAATACAAAAAATGATGATGATGACAATTAAGAAAAAGAATAATCTTATAAAAAACCATTGTTAATAAGCGCTTATGCTGTTGCAGGCATTATTTTCATTGCATTTTGTGTCTTAACAATAAGGTATCTAGTTAAGTGCTAAAAGAGAAAGCATGATTAAATTAAGTTAATGGGAGAAGTAAGACTATCTGATGAAAAAGACAAGACTTCTGTTCCAAATGATCTTGAAAAAGCCCATTCGGGAATTATTGATGATAGCCATCAAGCAAATGTGCCAAAAAAGCTGAGTGAATTATTGTTTTATTCTGGGCAAAAGCCGCAATCTTAAACATGCAGAGTAGAATAGAGAAGATCTTCTGCAATTAGTAACTAAGGATATAATTTAACAATGGATGATCTTAACAAAAGATCTCATTAATCAAATGCATAGACTGAAGTTGATAAAAATATAAGAAGCAAAGAACCATTAAATTTACCTGAAAATTTAAGTAAACAAGAATCTTTACCATAATTTGGAGAGTAGCCAATTATTCATAATAAAACAGAGGGAAGTGATGGATAAGAAACCAATTCAAACTTTGGAAATCTTGTGAGAAAGATCAATGCTAAAATGGCAAAGACAATTAACCATAACAATGATTCAGAGTAAGGATCCTTCAGAGATATGCCAATCAAAAAAGGACCTAAATCATTTAAGAGACGGTATGATAGCTCTTCTGGAGAAAATTCTGTTGATGGTGAAAGAGTTCTGTCTGATCTTAACAACGATATTCGCAAGTAATTTAAACATGAATAAGCATAAGGATCTCAAGGTGATTTTGAGGAAAAATATCATAATAATAGGTTTAAGTCTCACAGACCAGACACTGCTAAACTCAGGAATGATCAATTGTTTAATAGAAGAAAATCTAGTGGCCACTCATCAGTGATGAGGCAAAGGCCTAGTGGAGACCTTCTTTTGTCATCTTAGTAAAGTTTCACAATTGATGTAGATAGAGTCGAAAGAACTATTGATGATGCATCTAAATTTGGAGGACTTGTTGAAAAAATTAGTAGATAGTAAACTGATGGCGCAAATAAGCCAGCTCCTAGATCTAACACCTTTAGGAAAATTGAAAATGATGCAATTGAAAGGAAGCGTTAAACTTTGAACAATAATAACAACAATCTATAAATATTCCAGTCAGAATCTAAATTCGATGAATATGAATATATGCAGTAAGATGCAGATTCAATAAACAAGGTTTAATTACCTTAGGCTGATCAGGCTGAGGATGAAGATGAGATCAAATCAGGATTCCATTCAGTCCTAAAAGAATAGTTCAAGCAAACAAAGATTGATAGGCAAAAAAAAGGGATTCTAAAGAAAGGCTACTCTTAAGAGTAATAGGCTAGGAAAATCTAACAAACTTAAAACCAAAACTTAGATGCTCGTGAGCGCAGAAGACTAAAACTGCTAGAATAGCAAGAAAGATAAAAAGATGAAGATTACTACTAAAACAATAACATTATTTTTCATACTGGTACCTTTAATGGAGATGATGAAGATGATATTAGCAACATATCTGCCTTTTGAAAGGATTAAAATCATTGTAAAGGTTTAGAACTTTGAAAAGACATTCTATATAAATAGCAGTTAATAACTTAAGTTTTTTTTAATTTATGCAATTAATATTAATATCACTTATTCAAACACTCAATATTTCAGTTATTAAAATGAGATTATATACATTATGATTCATGTTCTAAGATATTTTATGTTATCAATGGCCCTAAAATTATCTAGCAAATGCTTCATTTTGTTGATTTTTAGCTTGCTAAAGTTTTTCCATAATAATACTCACCTCATCAATTTCATCTTGAAAAATATCTTAGTTTTGCTAGATTTTTTTCTCGAGAGAGATCTTAATTTCTTAAAGACGAGCTTTTAATTTTAACTCCTGATGTCAGGTGTACTTTTGACTCTAGTTGATGTATCAATTTAAAATTATTCTTGCATCTTATTTCCACTTAATTAACTTATCTGAGGGTGACTTAATTTAGAAGGAACTTAATCTTCATCTTCGTCAATATCAGATGTAATAATTGAATAATTTTATTATTTCTAAATCTCATTCTATTAGTTTTGCTTTCCATTACTTGCTCTTGATTCTATGAAATTTCAATTTAATCCAAATTATTACTATACTCGATTATCCTGATTTAAGTCTTCGTTGTAATGTGTTTTTGCTAAAAATGGTCTAACCGGATCTGGCGTTTTTGGCAATAGCTTTACCTATTATTGATCTTACTACTTTTATTTTTCAAATTCAATTCTTGAGAGCTCTATTGCTTATTTAAATTCATCATCGTCCTAACTACTTTTAATTTCCTACAATGGTTTCTTTTAATTATTAGGGCTCAGAATTGATTAGCATCGCTCCTAAAGTAATGGCTTGAGATAATTATTCTTTAAAAAAGGATTATTTGTTTTAGGTTTTGAAGATTGCAAATATGTATTTTGGAGATCTTTAACAATATTCTGCTCAGATCAATTAATTTCTGATTGATGACTGATATTTTGCTAAGACTTTTACTATGATGGATAAGCCTTTTTGTGTTTATCCATTTGAAGTGAATTTTTAACTTCATCATCGAGTCCCTTTAAGATCACATGATGCACAATTAAAGGTAATTTGAGCTCACTGTTGTAAGGAGCTATGAATTAGATTTCACATTAGTTTGACACAGTTCATCCGTTCAAAGTAATCCCTTTTTAATATTCATTTTCACGGGTTTTAGTAAGAACTAACTCATCTTATTATCTCTATTTATTTGTTTCTACCATGCTTTCATCCTAGAGCATTAATGATATTTATATATAAATTACAATAAGAGAGGTTATAATATGGACTTTAGGAATATTTTGAGTCTTGATTGCTACGTTTTAAACACGGACCGGATTGTACTATAATGTTATTGAAAAATTATCTAAAGGCTCTTTTAAATCATAGAAGTTCGATGACCAAAATTTATCTTATTAAGATTTAATGTTATTCCAAGAAGCATTAAACAGTTCGAATGGATTACTGTTGATTATTTGGTAATCAATAACTGCAAAATTAGAGTTAGATTTATTTTGCTATTTTCTTTCACTCATTTTAAATTTTGTTAATTTTGATAATATTCATATTTTAAAATTCAACTTATTTCCAAAAATGATATGCTAATAATTCTTTACGGGGTTTTGGGGTTTTGGGGTTTTGGGG